AAAATCTTTTGTGAAAAATTATATACTAGTTCGTGTAACACAGTAAAAACTGCCCATTATTACAAAACGACTGTCTCACTAAAACTTTTTACCATAAACCAATCGTATCTCATAATATAGATTCAATTCTCCTTTTTCGTTTTCCTTAATACTTATTTATGTGTGTTGTTCTTTGTCGACAGAGGATCGCAATATGTTAAGAATGTTCTATTGTAATACTTTTTAATTAAGCAAAGGAAACGGTTTGTTCAAGTTTCATCGTACCTAATTAAAACTCATAACACCATTTACGCGGATTCCTTGAAGGTGATTACCGTTTTCTATTTTCCTTTGTTGGAAATTGGATTTATTGCCTAATATAACATTAAAATCGGAGATCGAATGTAACGTAAATATGTATCTAAAAAACTAACAGTAAAAACACGAATTTCGAAATAAAATAAACTGATTTATAGTTAACTATTTGATCTTGCTCAGTGGTTGTATTCCAACAGTACATAAATTATTCAACTTTAAGATATGGTTGACATGGTTGGTTTGCTTACTTCTCTGTACTGGGATCATAAAAACAGAGCAAAGTTCTCCCTGTAAGATGTGACCCGAGTTAAATATAGTTCCAGGAAAAGTTTTGAGAGAGGAAACTGCTTTGTCGTCTGGCTCATTAGCCATTTAGCAATATTCGGGGAGACGGTATTTTAGCACGTGTGCTTCGATTGAATGGCCCACAATCGGAGCAGACGATCGCTACAGCGTGTTTTGAATAACAAAACAACAGTTCAATCGAGGTGAAAATTCGCGATAATCGATCAACTTCAGTGTATGTATGTATGAGTATGTATGTTAGTTGTTTGTGCTCAAGTGTTAACCTTGCCGCTTGTCGCCAAGTTGCATTCAGATACCATGTATCACCTACTAGATGACTCTTATCAAAATATTACCGACAAAACACTGTTCACACAACACAACTTAAAGAATGTTATAGTTACAGCGACAGAAAGCTTTTTATGTATTATATCATATCATATTTATATCTTTTTAGAGGGTATCAAAATAAAAGGCAGCATTCAATTAAATGCATCGAATTAAATGTGAATATTTCGTTGTAAATAAGCCATCGAAAGACCCGACAAATATTGTGTTAAGTTGACTAATTTTTTTCTTATTCGTTTATACAATAATTTAATATTGGTATATAGGTAATTTGTAATATAATTTATAAATAAATAAAAAAATATTAGGATGTCTCATGACTAAGAATATAGCCTAGCAAATAAGTATAAATTCTGTATAAACACTAAGATATTTCGGTAACCGCCAGTCTCATTTATTAATCACGAAAAAAAAATGCTCATTTTTATTCGAATAAAATCTAAGCTTTTCCGCCCATCGCAGCAATATAACTTTTTAATGATGGAACACTAGCTCAATTTAAATTGAAAATGTACATCTGCGTGACTGGCTGGTAATATATTCGTCTGAGATCCCGGTACATAGACATTCAATGTCTCGACTCGCGCCATTTTATTTAAGTTCGTCAAACAAGGAATGATGATAAAGTAACAATTAAATAGGAATAAAATTACAAGTGTTGCTTCCTTTTTAGAGCCAACGACCGTTCGCAACAGGTTTAAAATGTAACTAAGTAGTAATTATTCAAACAATCAAACGTAATTATTCATATAGGTAAAATACATTACGTTACTTTGTACGTACATATGTGCGTATGTTTTCATAACATTATTGATGTGTTTTAGCTTACAAAGTGAATTAAATAAATATTTTTGATACATAATTATTGTGCCTAATCGTGTCAATGGGCTAAACGATTGCTACAAAAAATAAATCAAGTGTTGTCTGTATTAAAATTGTTATATTACTTACTTCTGTATTTTTAAAATATAACTAACTATGATCAGCTTTCGGTCAAACTACTTACAACAGTCGTGAAATTATGCACTCACCTACGTAATTAATCGACTATTTATTAAAATATCGACGAAACTAAGTTTTAGAAAAGACAAATATATTCCTCTAAATTTACTAAAAAAGTTATAATTATTTATTAAAAATTTATTCCAGTCTTGATACTTTGGCGAGACCCATAACCGATATAGTCAAACACGTGGTATTAAATAGCAATTGTAAGTTTTGTGTCCTTTTCTAAAATAATAACATGGCTAGAAATAGATATACGATATATTTTTAGGAAGTAGAGACACGTTGAAATTTTAAAATTACTGATTGTATTGGAATCTGAAAAAATCAACTAACATTAAATAAATTTACCACGTGCACGCTACTCAACGGAATATCATTCCAAATATATTTTTCCCTGAATCGATATAGTTACCTACTTAGGTACTTTACTCGATATGTACGTCCAATTCATTTTATATTGTGCCACCATGTTTTATTTTACTTATTTTCCTGTTCCCGGCTGAGTAAGAAATATTTTTCCAATTGAAAATAACTACAGATATAAATAAACTTTTAAATCTTAATCGTAGGTATAATATATATTAGTATATAATACAATACTAACACAAAATTAAGTAAAGCTTGAGTGTTTAAACTTGAAGATAATTGGCCCTAAATACATACTTAAGTATAATAGCGTACCAAACAAAGAAAGCACACGATTCGCAGTACTTGACTTATAACCTTATATACATACTCATACGGCACTAAACTGCACACGAGGTGTCGCGAATTCGTTTACTGATGGCCACGAGATTTTAGCTGATATCAGTCGATATTATGGAGGCTAGACTGTTTGCGTTATCAGTCGTGACCGAACCATTGGCGAGGCAACACGTATTGACATCCTGCGCTGAACCGCTCAACGCGTGAGTTCGTGAGTCTAAGTAAGCCATTAATCTATAAGAAATATTTTCAATTTCCTTAATCTAATAAATCTTAAAAAGCCGGTGCTAAAATGTCGCGTCTATTCTCAAAACTAGTTTTTAATGTAAATTGTTATAACGTTTTATCGCTATTATAATATTTGAGTGTATTTTATTTGATTTACAATTCCGATAAAATATGCTTCGTCATTTTTAAACATTTAATAATTTTTGTGTTATTTTTATTTCAATAAAATTTGAATGATTTCTACAATTTTTGTTTACTATCAATATTTGAGACGCGTTCGTGAAAACAAAAAACAATTCTAAACGATTAAATTATAATGTAACGAAACATTTAGTTTCCGACTTATACGGAATTGATGTCACTAAGTTAGCGTGTGATGATAAGGGGACCTACAATAGCTTTTAAATTGCTAGAGTAACATTTTTATATAAAACTATTTTATAGACATTTTTCTCTGACGGAAAATAGCAGAAACATTGGCTTATAAATCGCTATCGTGAATAAATCGTTTACTTTAGGTATAAAAACAATTTTGAATTTCGTAAAATAAAATGGTTTTTTATGACGCGCTACAATTTCTTTTTTTCTATATAAAAATGTGTATGTAGATATTTTATTTATATCGATTTAATTTGCCAGTCGTTGTTAGTGAAGCACATTCGAGCTGCCCACGCGTAGACACCAACCTTGATCTTCGAGCATGACTCGAGATAATTCTCACACAGATTTATCCGCTAAGTTACGCAAATACACACATAACAGACGGTCATTCTGACGTATAACAATATTTATAAATACACTGAAAATAATGAATTACACGAATATACGTTTTACATTAGGTAATAGATAACATTTCTTGCATCTTTTAAACGTGTTATTTTTATTCTGGTTTGACTTCCGTAGTTCTAATAATTATTTATTGAGTATTTTATGACGAAAATCTTTAACGGAGTATCTAACTAGTAATTCGCTAATTACTGGCTAGATACCCCTAAAGATTTCGGTTTCGTAAAGTATAAAATCTATTAGGACGCTTACTTTATGTTTTCGACCCATATTTATCAAAATCATGTCTTATTCCCAGTCTACGTGCTTCGCACCATATTAAACGAAGAACCTCTATAAAAATCGGTCTATTTAGTATTTGGCCAAAAACTTTGTATGCGTAGATAACCCCGTTTTTTAATTATAGTAGGTGCCTACACCACGACATGTAGCTTAGATTTTTATTTTAAAAATAAAAACTACATACAAAATAAATAACGCATAATAAACCAGTAGGTATATAGGAAATCAAATAAATATAACCACGGAATAACAACCATCATGTGCTTGCAAATAGACTCATAAAAATTATATAAATATGTCTTGCATCATAAATTTGTACGTGTAAAGAAGAAAACTACTTATAAGTATTTTTTCTATTAAAATAACCATAAAAATATAACTCTTATGAATTTACTACACTTACGTGATTGCTCTTAGTTAATTTTATTAATTGCATGCTCTACACACGTGATGTTTACCTACGATCGCTTTTAAAATAATGTTCTAATATATAAAAATGAATCGTGTAATGTGTTGATAAGCGCAAACCTTAACAACGCCTGGACCAATATTACTAATTCTTTTTTTTTTGTTATGTTTGTTATTGTCAGGACAAGGTTCTGTAATAAATCAAGAAAATAAGTAGAGGGGAAAATTGGGAAAAAGTGACCCTTTGATAGCGAGATGATTGGACCCGTGCGAAGCGGGGGCGGGCCGCTAGTTTAAAATATGTATTATTTCATTCTTACATCAGGATGTTGTTGTGTTGTTTATATATATTGTCAATCTTTTAAATCCGTACTTTATACAAGAGTGTTTCTATCTTCCAAAATAAATAACGTTTTTCTCCGTTATAAATAAAAAAATGTTTAATACATCAACCAATTTACTTCAAAAATAACACGTTAAAAGAAATTTAAAGTTTCTATGTACTTACCTAAACTTCATTTAAATCTTAATTTATCTTTGGACGACAATGCATCATTAGTAAATTAGTAAATAAATAAATAAATAATCTAATTACATAAGTATTGTGTATTGTACTATATCTGTATAGCTAATGTTGTTTATTTTGTTGTCAGGCACAGACAAGGGGAGATTATCGCTATCAGTGACTAGCTACACATCAAAATGGTGAATGTAAGTATTACAAGATACATATTATATTACATACTTTATGTTAGACTTGATTTATGCCCCAAAAGGGTAAATAAAGGTGAAAGTATACCTTTATACTGAAATATAGTTTCCATTGCTTACGTTATAGTTTCTAAGTACAGAATTTCCAAGCAATTTCAATACATAAAACACATTTTATCCTATGTATAAGACAGACTATAGAGCGACACCTAGCATTAGATTTCACTACCACGCCAACATCCATCTTGGAAGTTCAATATCAAACGCCATTCTCAAAAATGAATTATATCGCCTTAACAATTCATTTTCTGGAAACTTGTGGATAAAGTAATGTCGGTACTTAAATAGTAAGTACCTACGCAATAAAAATAGAGAAGTACACGTAAGTCGGTATCAGATTTGGTGTCGGGTGAATATTTTTACACACGACGCTAGAACAAGATCCTAGCGGTTAGGTACTGCGATTATGTTAATTTCACACGACTCTGCATACATCAAGTATATGCTTAGTCAGTTCGCATTACTAAATCAACTAACTAAACAAATCTTTTTCAAGGTTACTTCAAATTCAATACATACTTGAAAAGGTTTAAATTATTATACTATTTATGATGGATTTTCCTTATATCATTACTGTTAGCACGTAGACAGACATCAAACTTAGCATAGATAAAGAATGTACCTAGATAGACTTCAACGTTCCTAATTCAAATCTTTTTTTTTTAATCCAAACGTGACAGGTCAAATTTGAACTCATTACGTGTTGATAAATAATTGTTTTTTTTTATTTAATTTTTTCGTGTAGGTATAATGTATGATATGGCATTCCATGTAACTTGCCTAGTCATTCCCGTATAACATAATGGTTATTTTCGTAAATTTATTTTAGTTTCGGTGTCGTAATATGGTGCAATACTTAATATTCTTAATTAAAATTGTAAATGAAAAAGTTTTCGTTCTGTTTCTTGTTTTTTTTTATTTTTAACATAGGTAACAAATGGCGCCAGATTAACAATGACATTTAAAAAATAAAAGTATTTTTACATACACGTCTCGATATTGTAATCAAATATTTTGATTGATACTTTCGATAGCTGATGTTTTGATACTAAAATAGTTATCTATCTATATGCTATCTCCCACATATATGTAGATAGTTAGGTGTACCTGGTACTTGTTATCTGCAGATACTCCTTTGGGCACAATGCGAGACTCAGATATCTTTTTTATTTTATAATCACTTACTTTTATGTTATGCCGAAAATAGTTTTCTTTTAGTTTTTTGTCAAGCTTTTGACCGCAAACGTACATTATTAAACGTACCTACATTAACCATACATTATCACAACAACACCTCACGCTCTAAAAATTTGTATACGACTTTTTTAACAACTGAAATTTTTACTCGTAAAATATTTTCAGCCTAACCAAAACCCACCTTCTCAAAAAAATCCATACACATACTCCTTTAATAAGTTCTTCGAGTCTGTCATAATGTCGATTAAACATGACATGAACGTCGAACGTTGGTATTCTAGTACGCAAGTGAAGTGTCGCATCTAAAAATAATATTGTTCTAGGAAGCAAATGGCAATGCGCCTGCGCAGCAGGAACTGGAGACATTCCTGTCCCAGGATGAGAAGAAAAAGGAGAAAGTCGTCAACAAGTAAGTGCTGTATACATATCTATTAAATATATAATACTGTTTACATATCTATTAAGTATACCAACGTTTTATTGGGAAAGTATTTGATTCGTTGTATGTAAGCATTGAAGGAGTTTCGATAATACTGGATTGATTTTGTTAAAGCTTTGGTACTTTTTATTGAGTAATGTAGGTTACATTTATGGAGTTATTGTAATAGAACTTTAAAAATCTTATATACTTATGTAAATAACTCGAGATCGGTTGAACACATTTCGAATCATTATGTTAGTTGGTCGGTTTAACTCGACCCCGAATTGAACAATCTAAATTAATACTATAACCAGGGAAACATTTCTATTTATGTAATTGATAAATAAATAAACGAAATATAAACTATTTTAATAAACACACAATTTATTTATTATATTGTCGAAATTAATAATATTTTATAAAAGTTAGCAAAGCAAATACCTGTACTAGCTAAGAAGATTTAGCCAAATCGCAATGAATATTTTTTCTTGGCATTAGAATCCTAATTGATTTTTCCTGATCAATAATTTGACGGAAGACGGATCCAACAAATATTGTTGACTTCAAATGTCATGATGATTACGTTTCTGGCTACTGCACATGAATTGGATTAGGTTCCCGTAAAGAAAAACTGCTTTGGTGATCTAAGTATAAATTGTTGGTACCAGTCAAGTGTAGGCAAGTCATATGAATTTCTAAACGCACCCAAGACTCAGACAAACTACTATGGACCGAAGGATTTTTTTGCCATGATCTTTGTTCTACGATTTTTATATGTAACTACATATATGGTTGATTTATATCAATTTATTCTTTACAGATACAACATGACGAAAGATGTGGAGTCGGCCGATTTCGATCCGTTCGCCGAACGAAAGTTGGAGAATCCTACTTCGTAAGTATATTGACTTTTTACCACGCCTTGGCTGCTACTTATTTGACTTAAATGTTCGACAGAGCAGAAAGTTTTAACAAAGATTTCCCTTTAAGAAATTCTATTCTACTCGTTTCATCATATTTTATATTGAAAACAGTTTACAAGATTAGGTATTTCGTTGATATAGAAGATGATAGGTTTATTTTTAATCTAGGTATCTCCTAGGCTATTATTAACTCTAAATTAGACCTTAGGATTAAACTAATAATGTTGATAAAATATGTACCAATTTTATGTGTTAAAAAAACAGTTTCAAAAATATATTTATAGATGTGTTCCGTCATCAATCTTTAAAAAGATGACGCATTCAGTTGACATTAGAAAAAAGTGCAAAAAGTACTAGAATACCTGCCTGGTGACCTAAAAACCTAGAAAACATAGTCCGAAGGCGAGTAAATACTTACACGTTATAGTAAATAAATTTACGCTTAGACATACATAGTTAAGTATATAAACAGATTTTAATGTTGCCACGCGAATTACTTGTGTATTTTACTGCTTCTGCGAATTGCTAATAACTAAGCATTTTAGGAATTTATAGACTAAGTCTTACCTACATAATTTAGATAGCAAAATGAACTATTATTGTAGTCTGAGAATATAACATGTTGGATTATCTATACCTTAATAAATGTAGATAGTAAAAAGTGGTAGCTTATGTTTTCTTTCTTACTTTCTTAGGAGATAAGCTGTAGAATTCAATTTACATTATCCCAAAAACTGAGAATCCTCTTAACTTTTACAAACCTGTTGTGTTATTAGTTCCTTAACGAATTTGAGCTTATCCCAGGGTCCGAAACGCATTGGAAATAATATTTATTTAAAATACTTAGAGTTTCTCAGTCCTCTCTGCGCGGATATTTCTAAAGGAGAAGTGACAAATTAATGTAGATACTATCTCAGTTGCTAATTCATAAAAAATCTAATAAAAATGCTTAGCAAAGCAAGCACAAAACAAGTTATCTTTATGTTACAGATTTGGATAGTCTGTACAATTTCCATGTTGATAGTCTCTATTCATTACCTACTTACATCTTTTTTAGTGTTTAATGTTTTAAACAAATGGAGGCGTTTACTGCCGCTTATGTTATCTGCAATAATATTATTACCCACTCAATCAATTTTAATGATTCGTGAATTACGGGGTTATAGTAAACTCACACGTTATCAACTTAACTGTGTAATAATATTTCCGATTGGTCCAGACATGATTTGCACTTTTTTCGCGCTGTTTACAAATATAGTTTCGCGTTTTTTGTGTATTGAGATCTGTTGTTTAGTTTATTAATCTTATCTTATTATTTAACTTAATTATAGCTAATGAATTTCTGTTTAAATTCATTTAAGTTTTGAGCTATAGGTATAGGTTTTGTTTGGCATATTAGCGAAATATGTTTGCAAGAATAATAGTAGAAAGCACGAAGTTGAGTTCTGCCTACCCCATGTGGCTACAGTGTATCTTTACTTATGTATGTGGTAGGTTTGCAAATCTAGAAACCTACATTCCTAGGCACTCATATTCCGAGACTTTTAAGGACAGATCAGGTCTCCAATTCGTATTGCGTTCACATAAAGCAAAACTGCTGATTTTTCTTAAACGTTGCACAATTAGATACTTTTCCTATTATATTTACTGGACGTAATACTAGTTATTGTATTACATGGTTTAGAATGTACCTAATGAAATTGAATTGTAAAGAAAACTCTGTAATATGTTACCCAGATAGGTATATACTTTATACTTAAGTAAATGCTAAGTATATTCTAGGTGGCTGTATCAAATAGGTACATAAAAATGTTCCAAAAACTCTGTCTTGTTATGTCTTCAATAGACTGTTTTATTATATCCACGTTTTTATAATACGAATACATTTTACTAAGCAAATAAAGAAACAAGATTCCAGGTAACCTAGACATAAAAACAGCTTCTTGCAAATCAACAATTCCAATGTGAGAATTGATTTGCGTCGATAGGGGGATACATTGGTCTCTTACATATGTAACATGAATAATGGCGACAGGAATAGCGTGTTTTTATTGAATTCTATTAACCTCAGGATAAAATTACCTTGGGAAATTCAAGGTGAAACTGGAAATCTTGTTTCAGATGCGACTTTTACATAAAACATTGCTTACGTGTTTTCAAATTTGATTAAATCTGTCTGACACTGCGAAATTATATTCTATTATGTTTCAATGTTGGTTGGTGATGATGGCTCTTGTTTATGAAGTTTAAGAACTGTCGACTCGAAGTCACCGAGGATTTGTGTAATGTTTCAGAAACATGGACACCCTGACGCATCTGCTGAAGGCGTCCCTCGGTACCGGTATTCTGGCCATGCCCAAAGCATTCAAGTGCGCTGGGCTCGTCTCCGGCATTTTCTTCACAATGCTGGTCGCTCTCATCTGCACTCACTGCTCCTACATTCTCGTAAGTATACACCGAAGCCTAAGCTCTGCGTACAACGCTGACGTTATAGAAATAGATATTTTCATATTTTTGACCTCTGCGAGATTTTGCCATAAAACTTTTCCTACGCGAATTAGCACTGCCCATGTTTGATATCAGTGTAGTTTAGGCAATTTAAGTATATCAATCATAATTTAAACTAAGAGACTTGCGATTCTAAATGTTTCATTAAAGCTTCTTTTAACAACGCCCTTTTCTTTCGCAGATCAAATGCGCCCACGTGCTTTACAAGAAGACCAAAAGAACGCAGATGACATTCCCTGAAGTGGGACAAGCTGCCTTAGAGAATGGACCACAAGCACTGCGAGCGTGGGGAAATATTTTCAGGTAAATTTACATGCAATATAACTTGAATCCATGCTTATTCTAAATGGTACGAAATTATAGAACTATTAAGGAAAATATGCACGTTCGAACATTATGTAGAATGCCTAAACACAATTACTTTGCACTCACGAGATGCACCTAACTGTCACAAACTGTCTCATCACTTACTCAATCACAAATGGTACAGGTGCTAAATAAAGCCTTTGGTGGTGCAAAAATCGTCGTCAGTCATTAGATTTTTGATATACTTAAATCTAAATAACAATATGTACCAATATTAATATTAATTTTTTTCTTTCCAGAATTTTCATCCTGGTCAGTCTTTTCCTGACTTATTTCGGTACCTGCTCAGTGTACACTGTGATCGTCGCCAAGAATATTGTCCAGGTAACTATTTAGATATTTGACCATAACTGAAACTAAAAACTGTTTTTAGAACTACAAATTGAATAAATAATAAAATGTATACATTCATAATTCTTCTCAATTTATAAGACTTCGTCTTGTTTCAGGTTGTAGCTCACTACATGAACCAAAAGGAGGAAGATGTAGAAATTAGAATTTTCATCATCGCTCTTCTACTGCCCCTCATCTTCATGGCCTGGATCCGCAACCTCAAATACTTGGCGCCAGTTTCCATGATCGCCAACGTGTTCATGGGACTTGGTCTTGGAATCACTTTCTACTACCTCGTTGGAACTGGCAAACTTATGACTGACAACATTAGGTCGATGCTCTTTAAAGCGCCAGTAGAATGGCCTGAATTCTTTTCGCTGAGTATATTTGCCATGGAAGCCATCGGCGTTGTTATGCCCCTGGAAAACGCCATGAAGACCCCTCGCTCCATGCTCGGCACCTGTGGTGTCCTGAACAAAGGCATGAGCGGTGTCACCCTCGTGTACATCCTTCTTGGTTTCCTCGGTTACCTTCGTTACGGAGAGGACGTCAAAGACTCCATTACCCTGAACTTGGAAAGCGCTGAAATGTGAGTATACTCCTTAAATATCTAAAACTCTCTAAGAATGTAGTACTTCAATAACTTAAAAAGTCATAAAAAATCATATTCACTAAAATTTGTTATAAGAGCCTATTTTTAGCTGTTCAGCTATTTTAATGAGACTGTTTAGCCATCCACACCACCACTGAAGACTACAAAATAACTCCTTATTTTTGTTTACAGTCCTGCCCAAATCGTCAAGATCTCCATCGCAATCGCTGTATACTGCACATACGGACTGCAGTTCTTTGTGTGCGTCGAAATCATGTGGAACAGCATCAAGGACAAGTTCACGAAGAGACCCGACCTTGCTGACTACATCATGAGGACCATCATGGTGACAGCCTGCGTGCTGCTAGCTGTTGCTGTGCCCACCATTGGACCGTTCATGGGCGTCATTGGTGCCTTCTGCTTCTCGATACTCGGTCTCATTGCACCCGCCTTCATTGAAGTCATCACCTACTGGGACATCGGCTTTGGTCCTGGCAAATATCTCATCTGGAAGAACGTAGTTGTTCTCATCTTTGGTTTGTTCGCTCTCATTTTCGGTACTAAAGATGCCATTAAAGAAATTATACGCGTGTACAGTATATAAGGCAACACTTTAGTGCACAGCCTTCTATTCAAAGATTCTGTGTTAATGTGTGATAGATATTAGCGTACAGCTTAGTATTTAGTATAGATTATTTTTACCAGTTTTGCGCGTGACACTTTGGGAGTTCAAATAGTCCAGGTGTCTAGGTCGTAGCCGATGTTATTTTGTTTCGTCACCCTGGCACTTGTCAACTATTTCGACCAATAGTCTCCTGTGAAACGGACCTGAATTCTGTTGTATTGGTAACCGCGACTCACGCTGCTAAACATATGGTGCTACTTATTGCATGAAGTCAATATTTGCTCCACGTCATGCATGAATTCGAAATAGTTACTATATGTATACTAGAGAAATTGATGTTGCCTTTTATTGTGCGTATTTTATAAAATATATTTTATATGTACAATTATAATTGGGGCATGTAAAATTATATAAAATCGCTATTACATTCCCAAATCAGAACTGAATACTGTTGGATGGTGTACTTAGAACTATGTAAGTATTTGAGTCAACATGTATTTACGATTGTGTGATGTAGGCACGTTAATGTTGTAATCAATGGTTTGTTGGTCCCAAACAAAACGAGCTACCATGTACACGATAGATAAGTATTTTGTAAAATAAACAAAGACCAAAAAGCTGCCGAACATAATTGTCATCTATATAAATCATTGCGTCATCAGTACTTAATAGCATTACTTTGATGTCGTATTTAATATAAATGAACAAATGCTTTCATTAGTCTAATTTGTTTCCATTAAAAAGAACATTTTATCTTAAATTGGTGACTGGGATCTTGCATTTAGTGTTTGTAAGCTTAATGTTTTATACATAAATGTATCTTTATTTATAGAAGTTTGTGTGTATTTGTAAGTGCATTATACGAATTTCAATGTCATGAAACTGCACTTAACTGTAAGTCGTAAAGATTAAAACCGAAGAACTGAAATAACAATAAGTACACGCAGTCACATGTGATAAATAGACGAGAAATATCAGGATGAGGCCTTTCTTAGTAAGATTATAAACAATTAGATCAGCGATTGAAGTTAGAGGTTTCTTAAGTCTAAAGACTCTTTACAATTCAACACTAAGAAGTTTACAACGACCATTTGATAAAGTATTTTTAAAATAAATTTTATTATTATCTAATATAAATCAAATTGTCTAATTAAATGAATAATATATTAAATAATCAATTTTAATATAATATGTATATCTATTATCAACATTTTTTACAAAATTTATAGGCGTAATTTCGCAAACAAATCCAATAAAGTTCCTATTTGTTCTTAAATTATGTAGAAAATTATTTTTAGTAGTACTTAAATTTTGTTTTGTTCATAACCACAGCGCACCAAACATTGAAAACAATTTATTTGAAATATTATCAGTTATATGATATTATTTTGTAATTTAATTATAATCATAAAGTACGTGAATAAACCATTTATAAGCTCTGTATGTTTTTATTATTTCCCTTATGTAATGATATAAGCAACGACTCCTAAGGTGCTACCTATGACATCTAGGTAAGGAAGGTTACCGGAGGCCTAATCCTTTAAAAGTTTTTCATTCTGATATAATAATATATAAAATACTAGCTACCCTCGCGCGGTTTCACCCGCTGCTGAGCTCCTACACAGATCGTAGCGTGATGTTTTATAGCCTCTAGCACTCAGGGATATTGTAGCTAGGTATCTATCAGTGAACAAACTTACAAATTTTACCTCTTTATAATATTAGTATAGAAGTATAGATTATAGGTAGACATAGGTAGGTACCGGAAGCCTAATCCGTAAGCTTTTCAGTCTAATATAATACCTAATACATAAAATACTGTACCTACTTAATTGACCAATGTCAAACATGGGGGATTCAGATTTGATTACCTCTCAGGGAAGTGATCGGCGGCGGCGACCTCTCGCGCCCGGCCTTAATCGAGGCTATGGTGCAGCGTGAGAGGAACTGGGAAGCTATCTCCTCCTTCTGCGAAGCAGTTATGCTCGCAAAGGAGGAGGCGGAGCGCGTGAGGGAACTATCCTCCTCGCGCCCCAGCCGCCGCAGAAGGCGACATTCCGGGCGTCGGGGATCGAGAGATGATCTCCGGCCACCGTAAGCGCGGGTCCGCGGACGGCGAGTAAGGGTAGCTCGCCGCCCGACCAGAACCGGACCCGAGCGTACGGCGCGTAGCGTTCCGCGCGCGCCTCAAAGAGCCAATAGACCACCACAGTCGGGGCCCTAAAGGGCTGATGTTTAGCCGGGGCTGCGGGGTAAGCGCAATGAGGCACCGCGACCTCGGCCCAGAGCAGGAGAAGGAACGGGGGGGTTTTTAGTCAGTAAGAGTCTGACACTCTCTCTCGCCTTACCCTGGGCGGGAGAAGTCATTGGATGATTTTCCACTGACAAAAAAAAGATTTGATTTCCTGATTGGAGAAAGTATTTTCATGTGTGTCAGCAAAGAGCCTTTGGGCGTATCTAACCTTGTTTAGCAATTTCGATGTGAGAGTATTAGGTATAATAGCGGGCATTCTTGCGCCAAGGATCCTCCTACTCACATCATTTGAAAAACCAGCCCTTAGGTATCCTATCCTTAATAAATGAATTGAATAGATGTTCGAGGTTCTTAATAGCGGGCCATTAAATGACAAGGAGACTTCCACCTTGTCCCCCAATCAGAATATGACTGCGTGGAGGACACGAAAATACACTTTTTTAAACCTCTAAAAGTCTAGGGTTTAAAAAAGATTATGAGATATTGAAAGATTTTTAAGCTGCCTAGAAACCAGCGCTAAATTATTTTGTCTCTGAATTATTGACTACTTGTTCGGTGGGTCTGATATCTAGGAACCTATTTTTTTTATGGAGTAGGAGGCAAACGAACAAACGTATCACCTGATGGTAAGCAATCGGCGCCGCCCATGGACACCTGCGACACCAGAGGAGTCACAGGTGCGTTGCCAGCCTATTAAGAAGAAGTACGCTTGTTTCTTGAAGGTTTGAAGGTCGTATCGGTTCGGGAATACCGCCGCCGGAAGATCATTCCAAAGCTTTGCTGTGCGGGGCAGAAACTTACGCGAGAATCGCACGGTTGTTGTCTGCCAACCATCTATGTGATGGGGTTAAGGCGATAGTGAATACATAGCGAGGCTACATCCCTACGCAGTGCCAAAGAGTCCGAGACAATAGGGCGGTCAACGATTCGGACAGCTCGTCGTTGAATGCGGTCCAGAGGGAGAAACTGGTACTGGTATGCCCCCGCCCAAAGATGAGAACAGTCTTCCAAATGGGGCCGAACTTACGCCTTGTAAAGTAGCAGGCGATGCCCCGGGGTGAAATACTGCTTCGATCTATTAAGCACACGAAGCTTCTTCGAGGCTAAATTAGCCTTAGGTACCCTCTAGATGACCGCGGAACTGGACTTCGCTCGATATGTATTTTCCGACCTTTTTTTGATTTTTGAGGATATTTTTACATTTTATTTATTCATTTTGTATGATTTTTACATTGTTGCAACATTTGTAACCATGGATATTGGAGAACCATCCGAAGTATTCGAAATGCACAACTCCTTATAAACTTTCAGCGAAATTATAGTGTTTAGATTCATATTGATGGCTGAAATGAATAGAATGTGGATGTGAATAGTATGTAGGCAAGTAGGTCCTAAATAAAAATAAAACAACAATATCGAAAATTATTATATTTAATTATGAACAGTGTCTATTCTCGCTAATATTTTAAGAGAGCTCACTGCTAGCTTAACAATAAAATTACGTAATAATTTTATAGACGATTTCCAAGTCAGCTTTTATAGCGATTAACTAAAACTTCTGTGAACGACGAATATGAGCGAAGTCCTGAACAAATAACATTATATTACAAAACTTACAGTTTCGGAGGCGGTAACCTTGTGTGTACAGATCTTTTGTAAAAACATACACAAAACTGACGAACGTAATCGCTATATTCTGCAATGGATTTATAATATCAATATCATAATTATTATACATATAATTTCACTTGCTATTCCATTGTTCAGAAAATGTAAGTCGAGGGCCTTGCGAAAGCAGATTTTTAAAACCTTCTTTATGATATATTATTGCTCAGAACAGAGAAAGTTACAATGAAATGATTAATCAATTCTTTGAATACTTTATTACAAACTATAATTATGAATCAGTTTAGCTAACCTACAAGTTTGATTAAAGTAAGTACCTACAGTAAGTGTAAGCAGGATCAATTAATAGCAAGTGAAATCACATTATTTATAAAAAAAATTAAACTTTGTGAACATAATCCACCGAGTGCAAGTGCACCGACATTACCGAACAACGAGTACCACAAACTTATATCGATCATTGCTCTCTAAGCGTGCATACACTTCCCAACACGGTTCAAATTCTTTTACCTATCATTTACAAACATTTATGACGAAGTGTGTTAGACCACTAGACAGTATTCATTTAGGTACTTTACTAAAGGTAAGCGTTCTTGGCAAGTCTTTTTATATTGGAGAGGTCGTATAAAATACACACAATGATTATTTAATTTTAGCTTAATAGCTAACATCGATTTGTGTAAATACTTATTGTAAACATAAATTTTTTTTCATAGAAAGACATGCCAATATTGTGTTTACATTTAGTTAATTACCTAAACATAGACCATAGGCGTTTTTAGAAGTACTAACACATTGCGTCATCAAAGTTCTAACCGACTACGTCACAAAGAAGTGTCACACGATCCATCTATTAAGGTGCAGTTTTACATCACGCGTTAAACTTTGCTGTCCATAAATCAAGCCAAATGATGAACACGCAGCATTTTTTAAATTGGTTAAATATTAACGATATTTTAGGTTGTTTAGTTATACAATTTTTACGGTGCTTTGTTACGTATAATGCAATCGTTAACCAATATTATTAAACATGGCACATCATTTTTGTTCGTTTGGACGCGCAGCTGATGTTAGTTCCAATTTTAATTGCTGAGTAGGAACATCAAACGGCTTGTTCTCTCAATGCTGTGGTAACCTCACTACACACACAAGTACACCTTGAACATCGACTCTGTGACGTCATATTCCCAAACAATTACATGATAAATGCACATACATAAACAACACTCATTTTATAGACCATTGCATAGTCCCAAATTCAATCTAATCTAGCTTCAAGGTTTCTCAGCACTACCAAACGTACAATTTCGATCGAGAGCTCCCAGCACCTCATATAGATAAATTATACAGGCCCTCTATTACAATCACGAATAATTTTACACTACAAAAGTGTTTCAATTGAATACCTTAAACACTAAAGCAAATAAAATACAGTAAGAAATAAATACGATACGAAAATAATACTTTACAAGTTCTGACGTATAATAAGTATATTGCAAATGCTGACCATACAATTAAGTCTAATAACTAATTTTAAACAGTATTCAGGTAAATGTTAACAATTTTACGAATATTTTTTTATTATTATTATGAACTAAGTATGTAGAGTAACAACGAAATTCGTGCAGGCACTATTCTCACTGTGTTTCTAATAACAGATATAGTCGGATAAAGCTCTGATCATGTCTCTAGAAATTATATATTTAAAACTGTCATTGTTCGTACTTATTTCAGCTATACTAATTTAATAAAGCTGCAATTTGGTTGTTTGAACGCGCTAATCTCCGAAACCACTGGTTCGAATTGAGCAATTCCTTTTTTGTTATAAAGCATCACGATACGATCTGAAGGAGCAGAGCAGCGGGAAAATCCGTGCGGGAGTAGCTAGTTTGGTATAAAACTATGAGTAATAGATGATGTCATGTTGTCTCCAATAAGCGACGAACTACTGACGAGTTACGCAAGACTAAATTTCAAATTATATTTACGTAATATTTAATTTAAAAACACTTCTGTTTAAGTACTGGAACATAGGTACCTATTTGGAATTTGTAGACATCTGTTTACATGAACAGAGCTTTTCAGAAGTTGCTACGCTAAACATTCTATAATAAGTGTTGTTAACAGATTGCACAATTAAAAGAGCAACTTCGTACTAAGAGGATAAGGTACATATCGAAAAAACTGACACAAATGATAGTTATGTAAACGTAACAACTTCTCATAAAAACGACTTTTTAATTTATCCAACGATAGTGAAACTTGACTGACTAAATATTTTAATATTACGTTCTTAGATTTAAAACAATTCCTGATTTCTTATAAACTTACGTAGATACAGATAATTTCGATGGGTGACTTTTACTGTTACTTTGTTCTAAACCACTGCTATTCTATAATTGCAATTTTAGCTAAACATGTAGTAATTGAATATAGAGGTACACACAAACAATTTTAACATATTAATGTTATTGAAGATTCAATATCTAGCTAACGCATAATTTATTTTCCGTGAATAATCTGGTAAATATATTTATATCGCTTTTCCATTCAATAGGGGTAAAAAAATAACTTTTTTCTATCTTCAGGAAAGACTTAGTGGATTACAAGATCATTTGGAATAATTTATTTAAATTGTTTGTATCAGAATCAGCAGTTTGAGCACCTTAGGTTTATATAAAAGATTAAGTAAATGGAAAAATTACTGAATAAGGGAATATAATAACTAATTTATGCAAAACGTATGAATATTCTGAACTACCCGCGTTACAATTGACACTCGTTGGAATGGCCAGTGTTGCAGTGTCAGCTATAACAATAAATACGAAAACATGTACCAAGAGCAAGCCCAAGCTTCAATATTTTCTTTAGACATGCGAGTATCTCAATGATTGTTAACAGTTCTACTTAATTATTATACAAATAATATCATTCCACAATAATTATAACAAACAGCTTATTACCCACCCTTTATATGAGTGATATTTCCACATAAACATTAATACAATTTACTTCTTCATTTATTTTCCCTTGCGAATAACGTCTACTCTAACCGCCATTACAATTAACGTCTAACTGCACAATATTCACATCAAATATATTTAAAATAATGACTTTCTTCATATTTTAATACAGCTATTCATTAACCTATGGAAATAAATTAGAATTTACTAAACGACGCGACGTGCTAAATCATTAAATTCTCAAATAAACCGAAACGTTCAAGTTTTCGTGTACCGAATAAATTGCTTTCAGTCTACAAAATAATTGGACGGACATCTAATTTGAGGTTCCAATTTCCATGCACCAAAAACAATAAACATATTATAATAGAACTGAGCATAATTTGTATTTAATGCGTATATATTAGTTACCTCCTCCAGGCATTGAGTAAGTTTATTCATTAAATTCTAAGTGTAATTAACCAATACAAAGATATAAGTTACTGGCGATAAAATAAAAGCTATTAAGTCAACCCACCACGCAACAAGAACGTAGGTACAAGGCAGCATGTAAAACAATTTATATTCGCTGTCTATTGTCTTAAATATTTCTATCAAAATAAAAATCTTAAGCAAATAATGCCGATTGTATACTTACTAAAATACCGAGCATTAAAAAAATATTTAAGAATCATAAAATACAAAATACGAAAGTGACTAATAAAAGGAATAATCGTAAATTTATAAAATGGCACAAGTTTTTTTTGATCCTTAATTTGGACGCCTGTATTTACCAATTGCGTTGAATATCATGAGAACCGTAAAATTTGACTAACTACATAATGAGTGCCACAAAATCTTATCTTATCACAGGATTCCGAAGATCTTATCAAGGTAAAATGATGCTGTTTTAGTCATCCTTACCAACGAGAACCAAAATAATATCGAAATCTTGAGATTCGTTCCTGAATATTTCTGATATGGTGAAAAGCTAAATGAGGCTATTTCGATAATGTAATACCTAAGTAACTGTCCCTGGAAGATCCTTAAATCAGTTATTGCGTATAAATATTGATATTCGAGTAGTATGGAATAAATAATGTATACAAGGCTGGCGCGAACATCTTTCTTATCAAAATGTTATTGCATGTGCATAGCTTTTCATTTCAATTCCGCTATAGCAAGAAAACATCAAAAACGTAAAAGTACACGAAGTCTGCGCAAGCCTTACATAAACATTAAAGATAACTTAAAGTACTAAAGTAAAATATCCATCTAGTCTAATTATAAATCGTAAAATTGTAAACAATTGAGAACATGTACCTATCGTGTTTTCTCGAAAGCATTTAATTTAATCCTAATATACATCACATATATGTATATTGACCGAAAACGTTGTATATCACACGGACATACACCTTACAACTATTTATATTAAATATCCAAGTAACAATTTAACTGACATTATTGCGTTTCTCATTATTTGAATGGAATTTTATATCTATCGTATTCTTACAACTGTCTATAATACACCTAAAGTTTTAGATTATGGGGTTTTAAAAGGAAATCATGAAGAGACTAAGTAGGAAATATTTACATCTAAATACCAATCCTGGTTTAGGACCCAAATTATGATATATTCAAGTAGAGCTTAGCAACGATAATATAAGAAAGAGTTGAATTCAAGTGTCATCCACTATCTGATCTAGCGAACAATGGCTACAGACGACACTTAAGGATATTCCCAAGTATGTATAATTAGTGGGACCATTACATACATTCAAGGTACCTAAGCCGAATCTATGTATTTTTCACTAACAACTTTTGAATCTCCCAAAAATAACTTACGTAATCTAAATATCTCCAATCTATGATTTCATTTTCAAAAATAATTGTACATACAACATTTATATGGCAGTATACATTATGTATACACTATTTGTATCATAATAATAAATTGTTATTATTAAAAACTTGCACAACTTGGCTATTGAAAACTGTTAACAGGCTTATATGAACAATATAAAAATGCTTACTAGTTACATAAAAGGCAGCAGCATATGCTTTTATAATTGAACAACGTATATCTATATGGCTTGTCAAAATATATACTCCTCTGTGTCGATAACGTGATATAGTATGGCTTTTGCGTATTGTCAATGTTTATTTGTTATGTGCTCGAAAATAACTACTAAGCTAAAGCGTGACAGCTTAATATTGCTGATTTATTGCAATTTGTACAACATTCACTGTGAACTGACATTGAACACAATCATTTAAAAATACTAGGACTAAATACTGAGTGCGTTAGGTTATATTCTTAGTTGCTTTGCTTTAGGCATCTGTTATTGCTTTTGTGTTCTCATATGAACATTTATATATTTTTCATCATTTTAGACTATTCGTAGCTCAGGCTAGACTATCATATAATTAACAAGAAACAGAGCCAATTATTGTCTTATGGAATCTGCTTGAATAAATTGTAGTTTGCTATCAACATCCCTAACCTAAAACTTTAAGACGAAGTAAACTACACTATCAGTTATATTCAAATTAAAATGCGAAGATACTGCAGTAGTTAAGCAAGATAATACACTAGCAAATATGTTATTGCTTCTGTCTTTTTATTATATTTAAATAAACATAATCCCTAACACGGAACACTACTTTGTACATAGTTTGTGTTAAATAATAGCGAGAATTACTGACTTCGAGCATTGAATAAAATATAATTACAGTCATAGTTTGTAATATTAAACATAACTGGCCATTATATAAATAAAAATGGTGGTAAAATAATAATTAGGTAAGAAATAGAAATTCCGTTTAAGATCCGTACATTTCCGTATGAGATTCGATGAACCGAGGCGTTATATTATTCCCTGCATCAACAACTGGCGTGAGTAGTTCTTCAGATTCAGATGGCACTTGGATACGAATTCTATTGTCTGAGGGCAGGTTCGTGGAGCCGTTGCTGGTGTAGAAGCCAAGAGAGACTGGTTTATGGTGTTCCTCATTGTTATAGGCTTTGTACTTGGAGGGGCTGATGGGGTGCAGGTGTGGGCTGCCGGCCCGAGGGTTGTACGTGACGTGGATGCGCACCACGTCGTCGGACATCGGCGACACGGAGGGAGGGTGCGGCGTCGCGCGGGGCGTCGAGTGCGCCGTCGACGGAGCCCGCTGTATACTCAACCCGCAAATGCCCGAACTGAAATGTTATATTTACAACCGTAAGTATGAGGACTAACAAAATTATTCAAATTTATAACTATAAAGAAAACCATTTATATTATTATATACCATAAACGTATGTGCCAACTAAGTGAAAATATATACTTAGCATAGCCTACCTATATCAATGTAAGGTAATAGATGTTATAATGTACTATATTATATACAATACAACTAAATGTTCTGCTAGCGCCGTAGCAAGCTAAGCAGAAATACAACGACCATTAGCTTTAAAACTGAGCCGACCAACTGAAAATCTTAGTACATCTTTTAGCTGCAACAGACAACAAACCAAGCCAATACGGTATGATCATTAATTGCCATTTGCCTTTAATGATTTGCTCTTGGAATGTATGAATGGTAAAAGCAAGCCCTTTTACTAATACATCGCCTAGATATGCTAGCAGACATAGTAGAATAAAATAAAGTTACATAACATTTGTTTAGTTCCCGAAGTCACTGTCTGTGACTGCAGCCAATGAGCAATATATCTGTTGAGATTTTAAAGTTATTAAAAACAGTCAGTGCAGTTTATTGCTTTTAATCATTTTGCACAAAACATTGGAATTGTTGGATTGCAAAGGTGTGCTATAAATCTATCAGGCCAAATGACCGGAACTATTTGGACAGGGTAGTGAGTGGGTAAGAGAACCAAAGTATTTGCACGTACAGGAGGCTCAATCAAACAGTGTAGTGAGTGCATTCTACATCTACAAAACATCTCACCCATCTGACCCAGTGGCGTCGTCGCTGACGTTGGAATGCGTGTCCAGTGAGTTGTCCATGGCATGGGAGCGGCCGCTCGAGAACACGCTCAGGTCGGCCGTGCTCGTCACGCTCGTGTCGGCGAGCGAGCGCCGCGACCCGAGCGCCGACACCGAGTCGTCGCAGCGGATCCCGCCCGCCACGCCGCTGTGCTCTGCACAACAACACATCCGCCATACAATAACATCACATCAACTAACATGCAATACACTCATATACCGCTTTTTTCTAAATACTCAGCTTTTTTCTCTTTGATTACTATCGATCTAAATCTCGCAAGTAATATGACTGCATGATTATCTACAAAATCTTTCATTAGCCACACTAGCTTTATATGCATAAGCACACAAAACAAAAGCAACAATTCCATGCAAAATATATTATACAATTCTTACCTTATGGCACAACGTCAAGCAAATTCAACGCATGTAGAAACACAAAACGCACATGCAATATTTCGAGCCTTAAATTGTATCTCTGCTCGTAGCTCAGTCAAATTAAATAATAAGTACAATACGAATGTTTCTTATTTATTCAATACATACATATTTACATCGAAATAAGGAAAAGGAAGGAACAACAATAATCAAAGTCTTCGTCTTCGCAATTTCTTATATCTTTCGCTCTTTAGAAGATAGCTGTACTTGAAAGACTGATTTTGTTGCACATGTACCGATGTGAGGACAGGGGAATCTAGGTGAATGTCCATTGAAGCATGGGACGTACGAAGTGGAACGCCGATTTGAGATTTATTATCTGAAGAAAAACGATGAATTGTGTTATCTCGCTAGTGACAAAGTAAGCCCGGGCTTCTACTATCTCGGTGTAGGCGCACTCGGCACTACACACATCACGCTATTTATTGTAGAAACAAGATAAGTTTCGCTATTTAGATTATCTAGACTATTGGCATTCCTAAGAAACATTGTCACTGTGACATAGTTGCATTTTACAAGGGTCAAAACATGGTGAAAGCTAAAACAAAGTAGTAGCGTGTCGATATGCGGCAGCCAAATTTAAAAGATGTTCTCTCCGATGGAGAAAGCGTTTACAGTGCGTAGATTACGTCACCTTGCATACCACAAAAACCGAAAACGTGGCTTTATTTCAAAGTGAATTGCAAACGTTATAAAAGGATCAAATATTTTGCTACGTCAACTAATGATACCGCTTATTGATCATCGAATGTTAACGTTTTAACAAATTACATCACCGTTTAGCATCGATGGTATTGCGTTTGCTGTTATTATCTACTGTAACAATGTACTGAGAAAAAAATATTTTAAACGTGATAATTAGAAAAACAACTAAAAGCGACATTGATAAGATATGTATAATGTGTGCTTTGTCTACGTAATGCACTGTATGTGATGTCTAATTTAAACGACTAAAACATACCATTCATTACAGTTTTATGTGTTTTGATTGTTTTTATACATTTATTGGCGTTCCTCATACCACCACGGGCGGCAATACTAAAAATAAAAGTATATAGTTATGTTTTCTAGGGATATTCATACACTAGTGTTCGGCAACATGTAGGTATTGCTAAACTCCAATCATAAATTTATAAAACCTTGTCCATAGAGGAAAGTTGATCCGAAAACTATGACTCAGTTGTTAATAAGGGAATAAAGTGCTCCGACAATCAGGTCTTTCCAAAGCGAATCGTTTAACTAAAATACGCACTTGTTTTCAATTGGTTTATTAGTAAATTAAACGTTTTGTTCCCATGGATTTTAGTATAGGTCGTACTATGGAGTTTTCTCGATCTTAACTTAAGACTAAGAGACAATTAAATAGGTCTTACTACTTTAGCCAGTAATCGAATGAAAATATCATATGATAGGGGTGGGTTTATGCAACAACATTAATAATGAATGATGTACAAATTAAATTGACGGACACTATCGAGCAGAGATTCGTTTGAAGCAGACGTCATAAACGGGGCAGCAATTTCGAAATTCAGAAATTAGAATTGAAGACACGAAAATTCTTGCATCAAGTGCGTTTTGGGCGAAAACGCAAGCCCAAGTGTTAAGTGGTATAGTAGAACAAATGTTAATAGGTTTGTGAGTAGTATTAAACAGATTAAACACAACAGTGGGCGTAACGTTATCTTATGAGAAATAGCACAAACAATGCAGGAAGCCGGGAATAGGACTTAAGATCTGAGGAGTTAGTAGCCTTATTATATAGAAACATTATTTTAGACATAAGCTGCGAATGGTATCACTTTAAAGAGGATTCTGTTCAGGGTCCACTCCTCAAATCTTAAGTAATGCCATGTTAAATGCATGTCGCTTTAATCGTGTTAATCATGACATAAACCCACCTCCATACCACCAAATAACATGCTAGTGCACAAATTGATATTACATCTAAATCTAAAACAAAATATAGGTAATGGCTAAAATGCCATTACTTGAAGTGAAATAAATACAGAACTGCAAGCCAGTGCAGCGTCAGACTCGTCTCCTGACACTTGTACCAGTAGGCTTCATGGGACCAAACATAATGGCGAATTTAGCAACAAAGTACTCGAATTGACAGTTACAGATGTTGGACATCGTGAAGTAACGACGAGTCCCACACGCACGACAGCAGTAGATGCAATAAGGATTTATAAAACATCACATAACAGGAAAAACTAAAAAATATAGCAATACTTTATGTTAACCAAAAGATCAATTAACGATCTCAATATATGGCTAACTAGACGTATTCTAAACTGCATTAAACAATGATAGGTGAAGCAAAACACGAATTCTACAGGATGTTTTGAAGTAGCTTCTACAAAAATGCTTAAAATTTTTGGCTATTACATCTTGCATCAAATTACTGTTACAAATCGAAGAGTTACAACTACATATTGCTACATAAAAATACAACACTACCACAGGACGACATAAAGGTACTTTGCCTTCACAAATTCTTATCACATTTCAAAAAGAGCGATGGACTAAATAATAATAATTTCAATACTAATTTGAAAAATAATTTAAAAGTTTGCATTATCTTTGAGTCATTAATACAAATAGATATAACACTTGTTACACCCATATGTGGCATAAGCTCACAAAGCGCTCATGCCCATAATTTTGATCGCCCATAATTTGATTGATTTTTAATAATGAATTGAATGTTAGTCTCAACAATTATATCATTTTACTATATACTACTTAAGTATCAAAGTAGCAATTATTTATCCATTGCCCTTTCAACTGTTTATTATAACAAGTTAACTAAACTCGCATTCGTAATAAATTAAACAGTAAATCTAACAAACGCACAAGGAATAGATGCGCCGCATTTTCATTCCTGATTCATCGAACATTTTTGCTGGACAAAAACTATTTCTTACAAGGTTCTTCTAACTTTGGAATGAAACATACAACTAGGACAATTTAAAACACATAAGGTGGCAAGTTTAACAATAATACTACAAAATACTGAACCATTTACATTACAACACTGCTTGCGAAATGTGCGGATTTTATCAAATATATTATGATGATTCAATTACAACTCGCATATCTGTCAGTCTTCACCACCTACCTAAGTTGTGTATTCATGATTACGATTAGGGTATATATTTTAAATAATTTGTACTTATTAGGTCAAAATACTACATCATGATTTACCGGAAAAATCTAAGAGTAGTAACTCTAACCTAAATCTATTTCAAATACGTACTTACTAAAGTAAGAAGCATTTTGTCGGTCTCTCTTTAGGCAGTATACCAGACTACTACGGAGACACCAGCGAGACGGCATCGAACCGACCGCGGCAGTGTAACCTATGTGACTATTCTACGATTTGTGACATGAGATGCGACACCGCGTGCCAGCATTTCGAGACAAGACAAATTACCGTTGCAACCTTACACTACTGGCAAATTTGACTAAATAAAAATAATTCTTAAACTAAATAAGTATTTCGCCGTCTATATAGAACAGTCGCGTTAGCGACCTTTCTGAATTGTGCAAAATCAGTTAAGAACATGCATGGATTACCACAACGTGAATATCATGCAAATGTGTTTAACGAGCGGCATCTTGACGCATGCCAAAAATTTACAGCTACAATCCAATACATCTAAACATGATCTAATTCAAGTACATTCTCGATGAAAGCGAATGAAAAACGAATATCAATTTAACTAGCCCAAAATGCTATGTTTCACTTGCCACTCTTATATTGGCACATATGTTACACACAGTTTTCTGACCATAAAGTAACTTTACAAGATAACATGTAAAAGAAATCAATTATTCATGAATGCACTTTAACCAAGTGTGCCAATGTAAATGAGCAAGTTTTATAAATGCGTAAAGTGGTCAGAGCCAAGGCTCTCGTCGGAGGTGGTACGCGAAGTGGGTAGAGATGCTTCCAAATTACCTGACACTGTGTCACTCTGTGAGACTCGGAGCTCCTGCAATTCTATTGCAGCCTTTTCGCGTCTGTAACAACAGAGAATACACAATTTATCAATACTTATAGGAGGACGGCACTCACTAATATTTACTAGATGATGCGAAATTTCCTTTACCTCAATATCACAGTTGCTCTAGCCTGTTTCTCAGTCTCAGAAAAATTCTCCGCCCGCTGTCCAATCTTTGATTTTTTGTCGGGCTCCACAAATAAACCAAGCTGTCGTTTAGGCAGCTCGTTGGGCGGGGGCGGGCCTGGATAGTCGAGCTTAGCTCGTTTCAATTCTTCCATTGATCGCTCCAAGTGATAGATTACCATATCATCTTCAAACCCAAAGTCTTTATGTAGCTTAACCTAAAAATTTAATACCTCATTCACTTACAAAATACAATCTTGTATTAATATCCGACCTGGATATTAATACAAGATTGTAAATAATGAGTTTAAGTTTGCATAGAAAATCAGCACACCTGAATATAATTTACAATAAGATCCATATCATTTAACTTCATGATTGCTTTCTTGTGAAGCTTGAGTATTGTGTAAGCCATTGCAGTCACCACTCTTTCTCCATCCAACAGATAAATATCCCAAACCCTGAGGCATAAGCTAAATGGCACTCTCTCCACGAAGCAAACAAAGAACCATTTCAGGGAATAAAGGATGGCATCTAAGCCAAACTTGTCAAAATGGTGTTTTAGTTTTGGCATAAATTTTGTGAGTATTTTGTCGTGATGTTCCAGAAATCTTGTTAACTTTGGGAACCCTTCTATGTACAGTCCATGCATGGCATACTTCTTATCTGAGAGTAGGACAGCCAGTGCCCAGAACGCGTCTTCTTCATCCATATACATGAGCAGCACCCCAGCCAGACCAGACATTCCTTGACAGTAACCTACTTCCGAGTTATACATGCTATAAGCGCAAAGGACATTGAATAATGAGCATTGTTTTTCTGAATATCGTTCTCTATAAAATTGATGTTCCCGGAACTGTCTGTTCACATCTGAATCTATTTGTCGCACATCTGTCGACCACAACTTAGCTAGTTTTAACATTTCTTGAAACTTCCCTGGATTAGCAGACTTAATTTTGTTAACATCCATTAACTTGCACCATACTTTTATTCGAAGCGAATTTGGAATGCCTTTGTATATTCTTCTATGGAGTTTTTCTTTGGTCGCTGGTGAGTCCCAATGAGTAAGCATTTTGACCCACTTTTTCTCCCTTTCCACTTCAATATTGACCTTTTGGGGCCCTGTTTTCTGAGGCAATCGTTCATCATGAATGAATCCATATCTGAAAAAAAAATTGCATCTTTGTATGTTAACCAAATATATCAGTAAGTACTTATGTATTTACAAACATATAAGATAGCAAAATTATATAAAACAATTGCTCAGGCATAAGTAAATAAAAATATTTGCTGTGCCATTTATCTAAATATATATTTGCAGAGCAAGATTTGCATAGTATAATATCAGAAATATGAACATTCGCAATCACAGTGAAGCCACAATTTCTTGTCAAAAAAAAAACAATCAACAAACCCAAATACTAATGCACTGATTACTGTTTAAATCAAATGCTTGAATTAATAAACAGGTTCTTTCAAAATGATACCAGAGTATTTATAATTAGAAATCTAGTTTGTATATTAAACATAAAGAAAACAAACATATTATACTTCATTATTTAAGGTAATATTGAATAACTAAACCATGTCACACATTTCCCTATTGCACTATTTATTTAGTATATATTTCTTAATAAGTTTTGCTATCTTGCTGAATTTTTGAAAAATATTCCAATTAAATGAAGTTTAAATTCAAATAAATAAATGCTAAATTACAAAGAAACTAGCTAGCCATAATCAATTTTCAGATGATAATGTTTAAAAAATTATTATTAGGGAAAGGAAGCCGCAGCATAGCAATAAATTATATATCTCAATGATATAGAATCATATTTTTTCTCACAGGTTATGATAATTCTAATAGTTATGGCATTTTTTATGAATTTATATTCACATGTGTGAAGTATGAATCACCTCTTGCCTAATATTGGATCGCCAGCTTAAGCCATAAAGCATAGTTTCTAACCTAAAGTCAATAAAAAGGTTGTTATTGAAACGATCAGTAACATTTTGTTCAGTATAGGACTTGAGCCTATAAAAACAAGGTTGGTGTGTGGTGTCAAACTTATCTACTTTTCTAAACCAACCATTATTTGTCTTTATATGAGCTACAATAAAAAACAGTCTTGTTGAGGTCAGCAATCTAGTCGACAATAAAAACACTTTTTTGAAGAGTTGAACCAACTTAACTCTCATGCTTGTGCCCAAATCAAACTTTTAAGATGTGAAACTAAATCTATTGTACAATCCAGGTATTGAACCCAGACTCTGATGGTGATGATGATCAACACAAATATTTTTACATTACAGTCACTCTAATAAGAAAGATTTATGATCATAATATCATACACCATTTTTTTCCATAAAAACTATTTAAGATCTGAAGATCAGAACCTCTTTCATAAAATTCTAAGTTCCAAAGTGCTACATAGTAAATCATTAATATCAGAAAGAGTATATTAAACATAAAACTCAACATGCATGGCTATTAGTTATTGAACTGAGGAATCAGTTTATAAATCTGACAATCAGAATTTGTTTACAATAATACATTCAGTCACTTTACATTATGGTCTGCAGGTAATTATAGCACAAGGACATAAATAATAATATTTATTTAATTCTAACAACTATATTGTACTCAAATAGCATAGGTTACATATTTACAATTTCCCTAAAATTAATTGAAAGATATGAAGAGTTATAATATTTACTGTTTCAAACTATTTAAGTACTTTAAAACAAAGAAATATGAAAAGCTTAGCCCAACAAAGATTAAAATGTATGAGATTGCATCTGCCTTATTAGAATTCAATAAAATAACAGCTCTAATGACAAGTAAAGGCCACTTGTTTTACTAAGTGATTTGGCAAACATAAATCATTAAACAATGTTTTGCAAAGCGAAATATTACAAAATAATGGCATACCGATCGGTTTTGTGGTAATCCTCGAACTCCGGATCTTCCCAGGGATCAATTTGTCCGATGAGGTTCTCACGACCTCTCTCGTATCGCTGGAAGATACGCTCCCGCTCCTCGGAAGCCCGTGCCAACAGTGCCTCCTCATTCATAACACAGCCTGGTCGTACCACATACCGAAACACCTACACGACGTACGATCTTTTCACCGGACCGACCTACAAAATACTATGCTCACTTATAAGTATGACTGACCCGTTTACAGGACAGTCCTGGAAACATAAACTACCACTGAAATCATCACGCCCATTTCAATTGAAAATTCTTGGACGCTTGATGATTTGACGTGCTGTCATGTCATAATTGCTACCAAAGACCCAAGTTATCGCTGGAGCCTAACACAATTCACAAGGAGAAAATGGCACTAATTAATCAGCGAAATAAATCCAACTGTAGGAACATAACATAGGATTCGTGTAAATATAGGGGTTGTCTAATTTCAATTACAGAAATACGCCCTCTTTTTCAATTACAACAGGAAAATTACGAAACGAAACTACTACTAACAGAGATTCCTACTCGTATAGTTTTTACTCTCTCTCTCTCTCTCTTCAATCCTTATCTAACACAAGTCAACGAAATAAATCCAAATATGAAAGGAATAATTAAACGTAACTCTTTTTATTACTCTATTACAACTAATGATATTTTAAACATACTGTTTTATTTCTTATTGTCAATCACAATTTTATTATGCTCAAAAAACTGTTTAATATTACAGAATGAATTAAGGACGTAAAACAAAAATCACTAAACCGTGTATTAAATACGGACTTAACAAAAAAAACCCAAGAGGCTCTAAAATAACTTAAAAAATGGTAATACCTTATTTTACAACTGATTTTTTTATGTACAATATGTACTAGGCCCAGGCCCAGGTACTGCCTATCTATTTTGCAATCTTTTTGTCTTTTTGATATGAAAATAATGTTTGAATTAGGTACTTCTGAATATTATTTATGTTTTAAAGGCAGTCAAAATACCGCTATACGAGAAAATATAATTTCAGTGACCGAGACTGTAGCGCCCCCATTTTATTTAAGTATTTACTGAAATGTAAAACGAAATTGTACTACTGGGTAATCATGAAAATACGGTATTGAATTACCAATTTATCAACAAAAAATATTCGATGATAAAAATATTTCTTGGCTTCATCTGCATGTTATTGTCAAAATTTTTTCGTATTTAATTATATTCGGCATAATGTTCCAAACGCAATAAAAAAAAATTTTGCACTAGCAACATAGCAAGTGGTCTGTCTGTTTATTGAATTTGAGAATATTTTTGTCCATAGACTGTAAGTACTTATCAGTTTAATAATCAGTCGAATTGTAAATTAACGCCGATTACATAAACAAGTGACTGTAATACGAATTTGAATTGAATAATCTCATTTAAATCGAGTATTTTGATGTGATAGAGTCCACTGTTGACTGATAAGAATATAACCTAAAATACGTAACTTTTCAAGTTTAAAATGTTTAAAGTAAGTTTAATAATTTATAAAGATAGAGAACTGAATATCATTGAAATGAAATACATTATTTATAAAGTATAATTATTTTATATAGCTTCGCGTAATATATCGTGCAATATACCAAAGCCGCGATGGTCGTGTCTGTTAATTTATAAATATACAATAATTCTACCATGAAGTAGATAAATATCATGTTCATATTACTGGATATTAGGTCTAATAGATATATCTTAATAATGTTTACTTTAGAATTAGTTGTTATTCAGTTTTAAAATATAACCTTTGCACCATGTTTTAAAATGGTTTAATGTTGTTCTTGTTAGGGTCTAGTTGGATTAGTGACTGGAGGTGCGTCGGGACTTGGACGCGCCACCGTCGAGCAGCTGCTCAAGCAGGGTGGAAGAGTAGTGATTTGTGACCTGCCTTCGAGTCCTGGACAAGAGACAGCAAAACAACTTAAAGAAAATGTTGCATTTGTGCCAGTTGATGTAAGTATAGCTATAGTTCAAAGGTTAATGAAACTTACCCTTGCTAATTTACCTTTCAATCGTGGTAATTCATGACACAATAGGCGTATGAATGCCATTGTGCTCTTCGAGTTTGATGAATGTTCACAGAACTACAATGTTCCTATTTTAAATCATTATTTCTAATATAATATATTTTTCGTAAAAGAACTCACCAAGAAGTTTCTCTTAACAGGTTACCTCGGAAAAGGATGTTAAAAATGCATTACAAACCACCATAGACAAGTTTGGCCGGTTAGATGTGGTTGTGAACTGTGCTGGTATAGCTACAGCATCTAGAGTCTACAACTTTAAGAAGGATCAGCCATTTGATTTGAAATCCTTCCAGAAAACTATTGAGGTTAGTATACCTAGTTATTGTGTGCGGTTTACATGCGGTACATGTGGAAAAGAAAGTAAGACAAAGCATTTCTTAACACCAATGGAAAGAAATGTTAGGGGTTAACATAAAAAAATAGGTAAGTACAGTAAAACAGTATCATGATGCAGGTTGAGCTTTGGCTGCATCATTTAGTGGAAAATTAGCCTTTGTATTAAACAAAAATCTATTGCATTGCTAAATTTCAGAAAAATACCAATTAATATTTATTAAGAGTAACAAATAATCATTCATCACTATAGTATAAAACAATATCACTTTCGGCTGTCTGTACCCTATTTAGATGTTGATTGTATCTCATAATCTCAATATACATCCAACTATACTTCCAAACTTTCGCGTTTTTAATTATTAGGACCATTATGTCAGCCAAAATAAAATATTATCTCATTTGGTAAATACTTAAATGATATAATATCAAAATATGTTTTTGTACTTGGGTGTGTGTTGAGATAACAAAGATAAACTGTTGTTATGCCAATTGTTTTGTACTTGTATTTTGAACATTTTACTGTATCATACAATGGTTAATGGTCAAAGTCCAAATGTTGCTTTAATTATGTAAAGTTCTTTGTTCTAGTAGTCAATTATAATGTTTGAAAAAATACATAATTAACACTATTAAAATGAATTAAGTTATATTAAATTTTTATGTTATACTTAATTATACCTATATTTTGTATCATTTGATTTTTGGACTTGATGGTATTCCATCATCATCATTGTAAAAAATCGAATCATAATAAACCTTTAGAAATGGGATAATCATTTTAGATAATAGATAATAATTAATAGTTATTATTACTAGTTGTAAGCCATTTTAGAACTATTCTTTCATAATAGTGACCTTTACTGTATTTTTGTGGTGTCTAGATAATCTTAAAGAGTACGTAAAGCACGAAAATGTCCACACATATGTACAGTGGAGGCCTTACAATTGAGTAGTTTCCTAGGTCAAAAATAAATTGTTTGAATACAATAAAATATTGAAAAATAACTATACTTTTATTCATCGATCGATCGATACACTAATTCTTAGATTTTTTTTAGCTAATTATCAAGAAATAAGTAAGCTATTTGACGCAAAAAAGTTATGACGTCATAGCTCAGTTTTTCATACAAATTTCAAAGAAAAGTATCGTTTTTGACATTTGTATAAAAGTATTGAATTTGACTAGTTGGAAACTACCGTATTCAGCCACTATGATACCTGGCCCAAAAAAAACGAATTATAATTTAGAATTATTGTTACATTTCAGGTCAACTTAATCGGAACATTTAATGTGATCAGACTGTCAGCTGGTTTGATCGGCAAGAATGCTCCAGATGCTGACGGCCAGCGGGGAGTCATTGTTAACACTGCTAGTGTAGCAGCTTTTGATGGACAGGTAATAAATAGTGATCCTTCTTTACGTTGAATATTATAAAACTGCGACTAGCCGCTAAAACCAAATACTTTGTGTTGACAAACTGTTTATATCAAAATAGCTTTTACCTACGGCTTTGGTAAATGTCATTTGACTGCCTAGCCAACCTAGTCACCTACCTTATTTGAAATGAAAATATATTATAGCTCAGTTATTTTTTTACAGATTGGTCAAGCGGCCTATTCAGCATCAAAGGCTGGTGTAGTTGGCATGACCTTGCCCATAGCCAGAGACCTTGCAAAGCAGGGTATTAGAGTAGTAACCATTGCCCCAGGTAATTTTTTTATTACAAACCTTTCTGACGGAGGTCCTTGTGGTAGACAATCGGCAATGCTCATGCATTCTGCAATACCAAAGAAGTTATTAAATGCGTTATCGATCTTATGTGGGTTGTTAGGGATGGGACAGGATAGTGGATGGGAGAAGGTACCTCTGGTAACACAACGCTAGCGCATTTTCACTTGTATTCATTGAGGTTGATTTTTCATTCTGGTTGAGCCTTTTTTTCTTTTTTTTTTGTTAACTGGGGGAAACCTTCAAAAGGCGCCTAGCTTCGTAGCAACGCTTGGGTTTCTCACACTTAATATTATTTGGTTAAGTTAAAACTTCAAACACATGCAGGTAAATGCGGTAGGCTCCTTCATTATTTTTTTGATTATTGACTGTCACTGATATATTTAAATACATAGGCATTCCGACCAGTCAAAGTATGGTAGGTGCAATAAACAAAACTGTCATAATAAAATTTGACAACATAATGCAACTGAAAATGAACAAATAAATTCCTTATGTAATAGCAGTAAGTTTTATTAACATTATAGTTTTCAATCAGTATCTGGAATAAAAAACCATAAACGCGATTGCCGATTGATGATGTTTGAGAGCCATGCTCCGGCATTGAGTGGTAGAGCCATGCTTCAGCAAGCATACCACGGCCTCACAGAAAATGGCTTGGAACAAACGTTTGGAAACGTTTGGGAGAGGTTATAGGAGGCCCAATCCTTGCCCTGCCCAAAATCTTAAAAACTTAATCTCTAATAGGTCAGCAACGGTTCATTACTATATAGAACTGAATGCAAAATAATTTATTAAACCATAAACAGGTAGTTTTAAAACATCAAAATTGAATTATATTCCATCTATTTATAGTTAGTAGTAGTACTTATTATATAGTACAGTACGGCCGACGTATCTTGGCGAGTCTGAAGTTAGAGATAAACTTTTATGAAAATCAAAATATGCTTTTATTTTTAGGTTTATTCCGAACACCAATGATGGAGCAGCTGCCGGAACCAGCCATCAAGAGTCTTGAAGCGACCGTACCATTCCCTCCTCGGCTGGGACATCCTCAGGAGTTTGCACTGCTCGTCCAAAGCATCATACAGAACCCCATGCTCAATGGTGAAACCATACGTCTCGATGGCTCGCTCAGGATGCAGCCTTAGGTATTGTACAAATAAACTTCGTATGTAGATACTAAACTATGAAGTAATTCAGGTTTTAGTTACATAATTATATATTATTATATTGTATTTTATACATTCAGTATATTAATAAATTTATTTTCAAAGTTTTTTTTCGTATTACTTTTGATACCTTATACATCTAGTAATAGTTGGAAAACTGTAGTTATAAATGTAGGTACTTTATTGATATAATCATTTACAGGTAATCGTGTATTAGCTGTATAAATAACAATGTAGTTTAGGTGTAGTAGTTGAGTTGAAATTTTAAGTATTGTGTTAAGTAAGAAACGAAAAGAACAAAAGAAAGTCTGTTTTTGAATGAGAAATTAAAAGGACAAATACTAAACGCTTGTGTCACTGTGTCTGATTAACCTGCCGTTGGCTTAGCTCACACATACTTATTTTGAAATCGTTTCGTATAGAAATTGACAAATTAATCTAACAGACTATTCATTTATCCCCTTTATCGTTTATACCTGAGTAACAAGAAATGTTTTCATGTTATTTTAACATGGTAACTCTATCTTTGTGATAAAAAATATTAATTTAATTAATTTAACTGAAAAGCTGGGCCTAGGTTTAGATCGCTGATTGACTGAGCAGTTTTTTTCGTGGTCGCGCTTAACAACCGACATCTTAGGCATTAATGTACAAAAACACAGTCAACGCTAGACATTTAATCGTTTTCATTTAGTTTGGCATTAACAGTATAGATGGCGCTTAAGGCAAGTTTTCTTTAATTTTGTTTTAGATATTTGCTACATAATTTTTATTGTGTTTCGAAATATACAGTAGGTTATTACTAGCTTTGAGTCTGGATTTCTGTTCGCTGAATAAGGTCAACACTTATTACAAGGCACCCTTGTTTAAGCAGTCGTAATATTGGACAAGTTATTTGTTTCTCTTTTCTGGCATGGTTATCTACATCTCTAATTATCTTCTGGAATTAAAAGACGAGGCCAATGTCCTTTCTTCTCGATTACCACCGCTGAATAAAAGATACTTCTTACACTTGCTCGCCATATTTTTTTTTGTGTGTCGGCAAACGAGCAGATGGATTACCTGATGTTAAACAATCAGCGCCGCCCATGGACATCCGCAACAACAGAGGAGTTACGAGTGCGTGCGACCTTTTTGGGGTTTGGGAGATTTAGGGATTGGGGAGGGGAAGGATTGGGCCTCCGGTAACCTCACACACTGCGAACCTCACACAACGCTGTGGTTGTTTCACGCCGGTTTTCTGTGAGGCCATGGTATCACTCCTGTCGAGCCGACCCATTTGTGCCGAAGGATGGCTCTCTCACATGCCTCATGGTTATGTTAAACTGTGCAACCATTATTGTAATTTTTTTGTTACTCGTACATCTTGTATACCATACTTGCCACGGTTACGGTAGAGTAAAATACATTTATCATTACAGCTACCCTTATAAGGGTGTTACACCATGTTGACTCCTTAACCTTTGTTTTTAATACCAACCCTTAATTTTCTGATTTGGTCTTTGTTTTTTCCCAATTCGTATAGCCTTAATGAGGACAGATAACGTCAATTAATAATTTCTGCTGTATTGTAGATAGGAAATCCCAATGGTTCTTTATGTCCGAAAGCAGCACGAATACTTTAAAATGGTTTTACCGTATGAACCAGTTAATAATGATCGTTTAAAAAGAAGGATAATCGATTAAATTACCGGGCCACGTTTGTTATTGGCTTGATAATTCTTGCTGCGCATTTGGATTCGATAAGGATGAGGCATGACCTAGTTTCGTATGATTACAAAACATTTAGATTGCCCAAACAGCTCTTTGTGCCGTAAATACCAACTGATATGAATAATTTATATCTACCACTATTTATGTTCCTATTTTATTTTCAAATTCATGCTAAATATTTCTTTCTTAAGAATTTTGATAAGTATGCAAAATAATATTTACACATACTTCTTTTGTTGAGTCGATGTTTTAGGTGTAGCATTAAAATGCATTCACGTCAAACCTATATTTTTCCTTTGTTGGCTTTGTTGCAAAATGTATGTGATTGACACATTTACATCAATTCTCAAAAAAGGTCATGTCAGATGAAATCTGAAACTACGTTTCGCCATAGTTGAATGAAAATCAGCTATTTAAAGTGCTATTTCAGTTTCACGTTACGTTTTGTTGCGATTGTGCACTAATGTAATTTAAATATGATATGCACTGTTCACATTGCAGTCATCATCAGTTTTGAATAATGATGTTCTTGCATAAACTGAAGCCTTTTTTTGTAGAGAAAATTATCAAATGATTCCCCTCGGTCTGGGTGACACTGGTAGCATTTCTTCCATATTTTCGCTTTTAGTGACGTCCTGCTAAACATCTTAATTTGTTAATCTCTAACGAGAGATATTTGCTATCTTTTTATTACATTTAATCTAGTTTAGACTTTATCGAGTAGTTAGAGCCAATGAGTTCAACATTTTCGGCCATTTTAAGAAATTCTCATTTCTGTTGCCTGTTGTTAATTACGATCAAAGGTTCTCAACAAATTGCATGGATGTGCATCTCTACTATATACTTACACATTAGGGAATAGAGGAACAGACGATGTCAATAAACAAAAAAATATTTTAATAAATCAACTAGAAATTCTCCCCGCTTTCGCTCGCTTGCTTCGCAAGGGTGTCCGACTTCCTCTTAACGACGAAAACACAGCTATTTCCTTATTTTCTCTACCTTTCTAACATTCTCAAAATTAGTCCAAGCGTCGTTGACTTCTGCGCTTACCAACACAGTTTTCGATTTATTCGATTTCGACCAATATCGGTGATAAGTGTGTTTCTGTTAATCAAGGCTCACAGTGATTCACTTGGGATTATAAGTAAATGAAATAATTAAGTACCTATTAGGTTTTTTCGGTTTCTGTAAATTACAAATGTTGGGAATACAAATTAACAGTTTGTAATTATCCCCATTAATGACAATAGGCTCGTCCCCTGACCTGTTCACCTCCTGCCAGTAAGAGTTATGGTTTATAAGGCGTAGAGGGTACTTTGGGGAATTAACGATTTTATGTACTTAATTAAATCGTAATACGATAAATCAAAATGGATATTAAGTCGATTTCTAATCTCTACTTCGATATTGAACAAGCTTTACTTCAAAAATGATATACCAATTTATCAATTCCTATTAGGCTAAATATCACACATAGTTGCGCAATTAGAAATCGTAATATAATCCCATCCACGATATCTTATAAATATAAAAGGTATCAATAAATTTAAGGGAAGTAAATAATTGAAATTAGAATTATTTAAACGAAAATATCATTTATTTCTACAATAACGGGCGGCGGCGCGAGCGCGCGCCCATCGCCGCCGGCGCGTACGTGCGTCTCACAATATTTATTAATCACCATGAAAATAAATACATTGAAGATGCTCGGGCGACATCTCACACCGCCTTACATATCATCTATGTTGCCATCTAAAAATAGATCATTGTGTTTTAAACTTATGACACCTCTAAACAATAATGATAATAAAAATAAGTTTAAAGATTTAGCGACAACAATAACTATTATATTGTATAAAAGACGCAAATGTGAGGTAATGACACGGTACAATTATGTGGCTGTGGTAGCTAGTGCCGGTTGCTCCACTCTAACTGAACTGTAACAAAGCCGCGTCCAGTGACTCGACCCATACTCATTGATTTACATATCAATGTAATGTCCTTACAAGGCAATGTGTAATTAAATTATTCGTGCCGTGACAAATTCACATTTTATACATCTATTTTGAAAACATTTTCTTACTATCATTAAGTGATGTCAGCAGTGATGTGGTGTTTAAACGTAAGACGTTTAAATAGAGCTAAATAGACGAACACTCGTTCAGTTAAAATGGTAGCAGCCTCACAGGAAGCCTTCGTGGCTGAACATTACTGGGTGTACTTATGTTATTACAATAACAACTATCAGAACGGTCACTGGACCAAGTTGCGAGGGTCGTGTTCCACTCGTGGCGTGGACGGAGCCGCGAGCCACTCTTAGGGTCCGGGCTCGTTGTGCGTCTTCGTACTGGTATAGCATACACACTAAAGCTAGATAGATGACCCGCAACCGTAATCCCTGCCCTCGACTCGTGACCTCACCACTTCTTTAACAGTAACACATAAATAGCCATACATCTAAGATGGTATCAGTTTAATATTTACTTTATTTTATTAACAGCAAATGCGGTATTGCATTGGTATTTGCCAGCCCCATATTTTCAGATACAACAATTAACCATTTAAGATGAATGCAAACTGTATACCTCGCCCTATCTATATGTACAATTGATAAAGTAGAACTAACACGGCGCGCGAAATAAAGTTAGGTGCAACAGAAATTATCGTTTAGGTACTTAAGATTTACAGCTAGTATGAACCCTTCAGGCTGAGGCCTGTCGATTCGCTCAAATTCACATCCTCACATATAAACTTATCCACGAGAATACTATACACAGACTAAAGTTAAACAACATCGACTGAGATTAATCCTAACTTATCGTTAATGAACAACAAAGTGGTAAACTTACAAATTGCAACGCTTGTCTATGCGCGTCATTTAGCGTTACGTAGCGATATTTTGGAATGTGTGCGACGCGTACATAGTCATCTGCAACCGATCGCCTGACACAGTTAGTATCGAGCAAAGCACGTGATGACGAAACGAATTCATGCTAGTGACGCGATACTGTATGCGAGACCGGCTACGGATACGTTACGCTGCGCGAGCGAATCTGAGCGAAATAACAGTGCCCGACGTTGGACGAGCATCCCGCTCCCGTGGGCAGCCAAGTCGCGGCTACCACGGGAACAGGATGATCCTCGCTGCGCAGTTTGTTTACTATCTATCACTTACACCTAGTTGAACTCAAAATTTACATTTACATAGAACACTCATCGTGTACCTTAACATTAAAAATACTTATAATTTTAAGTCATAAATATAGATATTACTTACATAACGTAC